GGGGACACGGGGGAGCCCTCCGCCCACCCAGGACCAAGCTCGGGGACTGTCACCAAGAACGAAAACGTCACCACCTTGTCTGTGAGCTCCTTGGAGGTGAGGGTACCAGGGCCAGCTGAGCTGGCGGGGCCAGTGGGTCGGGCTGCACTCAGCACCGTGTCTAAGGGCGTCCTAGGGGGCGCGGGCGGTGGCCCGGCCTGCAGGGGAGGCTCCCGGCCCCCAGCAGCAGCAGCAGATGGGCCGGGCTGACAGGCCGGCTTCTACCTGCACCACTGGCCGGGCAGGGCTGGCCAGGACCCGCTGCCCTCAGGCCCACTCCCAGGGCATCAGGCCCAGTGAGAGGGAGCTTTTAGCAGCCCATGCTGGCCATGCCTCTTGTCCCATGTCCCCTCTCAGGCCCCAGCCTGGGTGCTGAGTCTAGCCTCCTCATGAACGGGCATTGTGGCAGCAAGTGTCCCCATGTCAACCTGGCGTCTGAGTTGACCAGTGGGATGTGAGACTCCGGTCAGGGTAGGACACACTGCCCCTCCCGGCTCTCGGCCTCTGGGGATGCACCTGGGAGCCGAGGGCCTCCTTGGGTGAGCCCAGCCTTGTGGCCCTCGTCAGTCCTTCTGACCCTGGGCAGCATGTGCTGGTCTGGCTGAGCTGGACACCCTGGCCCAGCCCTGACCCCTGGCACCTGCCTGTGGGAGGAGCAGCCTCCAGATGCTGGCAGACGGGCCCCTGGGGCCAGGAGAGGAGGGCTGTGCTGGCCAGGTCCTGCCGTTGGGAGGGAGCTGCTCCCGTCCTGTCGGCCAGCCGGTTGCTGTCAGCTTCCCCTCAACCTCAGCAACCCCACTGCACCTTCCAGCCCCCGCTGGCCTTAGTGAGTCCAGGGAAAGGCTGCCTGCCCAGAACACAGGCCCTCGGGGCACACCCTCTGGCCTGGCGTGGACCCTGAAGGCAGGACAGGGGCTGGTGGCCCTCCCTCACCACAGGGAGGACCTGGACTCCTGGTCTGGGAGTCTCAGAGAACCAGTAACAAATGAGCATAAACTTGTCCCCACAGCGGCGAAAATCGCGGTATGCAGAACTGGACTTTGAGGTGGGTGCCGATGTCCCCCTCCCTGGACAGGCAGGGCACACCCAGCCCCTGACCAGGCAGCTCAGGTCACTGGGGCGGGCAGGGAGGTGGAGTTGGGGCGGTGGCGGGCCTTGTCCCCCGGGGCTGGAGATGGGCAGCCTGGCCGGCCGGGCCCCACTCAGGACAGTGGCCGCCCTCTGCAGAAGATCATGCACACGCGGAAGCGGCACCAGGACATGTTCCAGGACCTGAACCGGAAGCTGCAGCACGCGGCCGAGAAGGACAAGGAGGCGCTGGGCCCCGACAGCAAGGTTGGAGGGCGGGGGCGGCATGGGGTCCCGGGGCCTCCCCTGCTGTCCACACCCACTCTGCCCACCTGGTCACTCACTCCCTCACTCATTCTGCCTCTCCTGAGGACCGGCCTGGTGGGCCCAGGCTGGACCCCGAGGGGCAGGACGCAGGTGAGCCTGGCACGGCGCTCAGGGGTGTGGTCAGGGTGGGGGCAGGCGGGTTCCCAGCCGCCCCCCTGCCAGCCCCGGGCCCTGCCAGTCGTAGGGTGAGATGTGCGTGGGGCCCCTCCCTGAAGGCCCTCCTGACCTGGTCTGCTCCCTCTTCTCCCTCCCGCTGCACCCTGCCTCTCGCCCGCGCCCCTGCCCCTCGCCCCGCAGCCAGAAAAGCAGCAGACGCCCAACAAGCGGCCCTGGGAGAGCCTCCGGAAGGCCCACGGGACGCCGGCCTGGGTGAAGAAGGAGCTGGAGCCACTGCCGCCGTCGCCCCTGGAGCTGCGGAGCGTGGAGTGGGAGAAGGCCGGAGCCACCATCCCGCTGGTGGGCCAGGACATCATCGACCTCCAGACGGAGGTCTGAGTGGGCGGGCGGCGGCCCGCACTGGGCCAGGAGGAGGGATCTGCTCTGCCCGCTCCGGCCACAGGACGGGCACAGGCACGCTCGCGCGCAGGCCAGGCCTGCACCCCGGCCTCAGGGCACAGACGGCCAGGCAGAGGGCCGGCGCTGGGACCAGAGCCAGACGCAGGACAGGAGGTGGCGCAGCCCGGCAGGCACAGGGCTCCAGAGGCCCAGAGGTGCCTCAGACTCTGCCCTTCTAGGGCGAGCCCCAGCGGGCGGGGGGCTGTGGACAGCGGACAGGCCTGGATGGGCAGTGTCCCCAGGATGCCCACCTGAGACTCCGCTGCAGAGGACCAGCCCGTGTGGCCCGCTGGCCTGGCTCCATTTTTTAGACACCCCCCACCCCTCGGGAAGCAGCCAGACCCCCACTCCCTTCCAGGGCCCTGGGCCCCTCTCAGACCCAGGCAGAGAGCACAGCCCGGACCCGAGGCCCCCAGGGGCAGGACTAAGCCCACTTTGGGAAGACACAGGGTGGGGAATCTATTTTTTCTCTCCTTTTCTTTTCTTCAATAAAAAGAATTAAAAACCCAACTGCGGTGTGTTGTTTGTGTCGGCAGCTGGCCTGGCTAGGACAGGGTCCCAGTGGCCCTGCAGCTCCTGCCCCGTCGGCAGCCGGGGTCTGGCCCGGGCTCCCAGGCGCCCTGTCCAGGCCATGGTGGGAACTCTGGGCACTCCCATGATGGTGCCCCTGCCCCTCGGCGGCAGTCCTCGGTGGAGGGGACAGGCAGCTCCGACCCCAGCCTGATCCCCTCGTCTCCTGAGTCACCTTCAGGAAGGACCACCAACAGCAGTAATTTAAAGGAAAAAGAACAGACAGACGGGATTAGAAGAACGTGGGGGTCTGGGAGGGGAGGGCACTGGCCTCCGACGGCCATCTCCTCCGTGTTCCCTGGGCAAGCTCCCTATGTCCATCACTGGACGCTTGCTGTCCCCAGGCCACGTGGCCCTATCTGGCCAGGGGTGAGTTGGGAAAGCGAATGTGAAGGTGCAGAGCATCCCCAGACCCAGTGGGAGCCCCCTGCCGTTGGCCCTCCCTTCTAGGTGAGGAGCTCCTTCCTGCCTCTCTCCCAGTCTCCAGCAGGGGGCAGCCTGAGTCCCTCCAGGAACCTGGCCCCGGAGCTGTGAGAGGAGCTGCCAGCAGGTCGGGGGACATCAGCCAGCCCCTTCCTCCACGGCTCCCAGCCAGGAAGCCCCAGGACTGTGGAGAGCCTGGGCCTCGGCAGGTGGAGCCCACTGCCCCTCCTCAAGCCCCACAGACCTGACTGAGGGGGCTTGGAGCTCTTGAAAGGGCATGTGACAGGCTCTCTAGAGTCCTCCTCCCAACAAACCCAGGAGGAGGGGCAACCTGGCACAGGTCCCCTGGACAGCCTGGCCTGGGCCCCTCCTCCGCACCAGGCTTTGTTCCTGCGAACTTCACTGTGGGTGGGGTTGGGACAGGCTGGGTGTAGAGACCACGGTGAGCCCTGCACCGTGGACAGCCCCTGGGTGCCACATGGGAGTGGCGGACAGTGAGCCAATAACAGGGAGAGAGGGCAGTGTCTGCAGTGGCCCTGAGGAGCCCCAGAGCCCCCAGAGGCCCAGACGCTATACCTCCCAGGGGCATGCCCAGTCCACTGACCCTCTGCCTGCACTGGTTGTGTCTGCTTCAGAGAGGCTCCTGGGCCCTGGCAGCCCCTCTCAGAGGCCGCTCCAGACCCAGCAGCCGGGGTTCTGATGAGTGACTGGCTGCACCCTTTCTCCCTCCTGCTGTTGAGGGAAGCTGGTCCCCGGCGGCAAGTGGACCGGGCCCTGAGCCCCCAGCCCCTCCTGGTGCAGGCAGCATCGAGCACAGGGCCTGGCTGGAGGGTCAGGCAGAGCGGCCAAGACATTGTGGGCAGCTCCCTGACTCCCCATCTCCACCCACACCCAACACTGCCAAATGCAAAACAGCGGGAAGCCGAGCCCACACTCTGCAGGCAGGGGACTCCAGCAGTGGGCACCACCAGGGTCCGGCTCGGTGGCAGCACAGCAAGATGCAGCCGTCCAGAGCCTGGCTGCTCCCTGCTGGGCCTCCCTCCCAGGGAGAAGCCCATGTCCTGCCTCAGCCACACACTCAGCTGTTCAGCGCTCCTTGCTTTCCTTCAGGACCCTTCACAGAAATTGCTGGCTGCTCCCAAATCTCCATGCAAAAGCCAGCCAGGAAAGGCCCTGTTGGAGCCATGCTCCCTCGGGCCTGCTCTGGTGGGCCCCAGTCACCTTCGTGGTAAGCCCTGTGCTGGGCACTGCTTTGGACCAGGGGCCCAGAGATGCTCAGTGCCAGGATGGGGCCTCCCCTGGGCCTCTGCCAGGTCCCTCAGGACTCCACCCAGCTCTTGAGAGTGGTGGGCTCCTGAGAGTGGGCCAGGCATGATCCTCTCGACAGCGAGCACACCAGACTCTGGTCCAAGTCCTGCTGCCAGAATCCCAAATTAGGGAGGCACTGCTCCTGGAACCAGGTCTCCTGCTCCAGTTTGTGGACCCAGCCCACTACTGGGTTCCTTACCCAAGGCAGCAGCAGCGTCTCCACCAGAAGCTGCTCCATTCCTGGTGGAGTCCAGAGGTGGTCATGCCTCCTTCCTGGGCCTTCCATGCATTCCCTCTATTGTCTTAGCTTCCCTGAACAAGTGCCATCCTGTTCAGCAACATGTCACCAGTGAATCTGAGACCATCTCTTCTGCTACCCTCCACCTGCCATCATCAGCACCACCTGCCCTAGGGAGAGGAGTGGGCTGAGGATGGTGAGGGTGACCAGGATGGACAAGAACATGAGGGAACATAGGTGGTGTGGATAGAGCTGGGGCTGAAGATTTGAGTGGTGGTGATGATGATGGTGTTGATGATGATGGCAATGGTCATGTTGATGATGGTGGTCATGGTGATGATGATGGTGATAATGGTGATGATGGTGATGCTGCTACTGGTAATGGTGGTAGTGTCGTTACTTATAACAGTGATGGTGGTGGTGGTGGTGGTGGTGATGGTGGTGGTGATGGTGGTGGTGGTGGTGATGGTGGTGGTAATGGTGATGGTGGTGGTGATGGTGATGGTGGTGATGGTGGTGGTGGTGATGGTGAT